TCTCCTAGCTTTCTTGTCATCTCTCTGTCTCTGTCACCCTTCCTCCTGCCCTGGCCACTCTCTAGATATTCAGCTGCTCTCCCTCAGCTGTCAAGCAGCTGACTGCTGTGCCACTTTCATGGCCTGGCTGTCCGTGCCACACTGTGCCATCCCTGCTGTTTCTTCCCAGTCTGGCATGCAGACTGTAGCTAAGAAACTGGGAGAAGCTTCCTAACGTGCAGCATCAGAGAAGGAATGCGCTTTTAAGTGAGTAGATGAGCCTGAGCGACCCTCTTATACAGCCAGAAACCTCGTGTTTGGACCAATCATCGCCTGGCCTCTTTAGTACCAGTCACAGTCACAGAGTTTTACTTTTGGACCAATCACGCCTTTGCCTCTGTAGAGCAGTCCATCCATACGGCCACCAGGGGGCGTGTTTCCTCTCGTGTAGATGGAGACAGCCGTCATAGCCGGTTCATCTAGAGTTCACCGTGTCTGGTAATCCAAACTACTGGAAGCAGCCTAGGCCGAAGCTGCTTTCAGGAGCTGGCGTCATTAGCTGTTACCCTGGGCACTTTTTTCAAGCCCACTGTGGAGACTTCAAAACCAGTTTGCAGTGGCGTAAGCGTAAGCTTGTACTCCTGGCTGTTGACTCAGTCTTTTTTTCTTTTTTCTTTTTTCTTTTTTGCTCGAGGCAACCAGAGCAAAAAGGGAGAATCTTAAGAGGTGCTAATGAGGGTGTCAGATCGCCCTATCCCCAAACTGGAAAGGGAATATCAAAAGGAGTGACTAAGTGAGAACTTAATTTATTATCACCAACAGTAATAAGCGATTATAACAGTGTTGTAGCAGTTTAAGCGGCTAAGGGTCCCAGGGAGAAATGGTTCCCTGTCTCCCTTCCTCCCCTGTTTCTGTCCGCTCTTTTCCTCCTTCCCTCCACCTCCCTTCTCCCCTTCTTCCTTTTCTCTCTTTTCCTCCTCCCATCCCGGCTATAGGGTGCCGAGAAGTTAGAGTTAGGTAGGTTGGGACTTTCCGGAGACCAGAGAATGAGTTGAAGGCACAGGGATGAAAACCAGGGAGCTGCTCCCGGGGCTGCCGAAGGGGGATAAGCCATGGGCTAATAGGATCTATTGTGGTGAATCCCCAGAGAGGCACGCACTGCCCGGAAGGCTGGAGCTCTGGGGTGGCTCTGGGTCAAGATTAAAGAGCCAAGAAGGGAGGCTTAAGGAGCCTGGCTGCACAGGTGATGGCATAGTCTTGCAGACCTCAGAATAAAGACTTAGCTGCACTTTACACTAGGGCACCCTGTCCCTCATCTGTCTTCTCTATCCCATGCTCTTCCCAATCCTATCTCGGAGACCTAGGTCAACACCGCCTCGGAATCACCAGGTGGCTTGACCAGGAACTGAAGGGCAGAGGCATCTCAGTCAGGAAAGCTAGGGAGGGGACTGGACCCGAGGGTGACTTTCTTTAGGGCCCGTGTGGCCCCTCCCTGCTCTCCCTTCAGGGCGCACTTGGTAGCTCGATTCCCTTACCTGAGGCTGCAGAGCAGAACCCCACCGCTAGCACCTTCTTGGGAATGCTGCTGTGACCGTCAGGAACCATGAGCCCAGCAACTCCGGTAAGGAGGACTTCTCTGGGACAGGAGGGAGTTGGGGTGGCGGCCCTTCCCAAATAGGTGGTGCCCTGATCTCCAGCGTTCTCTGTCTATGCCTGCATAGCTGGGGATTTGGATTGAGCTAGTCAAACCCTGGAGGGCCAGATCCAGGTGACAAAATATTCCTCTCCTCAAGTCCAGTCTCTGATCCATTACCGCTGCACCCTAGGATCTTCTAACTCACTAGTCATATGACCTAGCCTCCTGTCTCGAAAGTATCTCACCGAAGTAGTCACTGTACAAAAAACGTCCAGGTTGCCACTCACTCCTTGTTACATCCTGGCAACTCTGCAGCCTTGTCCCTTGCCAGCCCATCTCTCCAAGTCCTACTCATCTTCCAAACATACTGGAGACCAGCACGTATGTGGGGTTCTTAGGTCCATATTGGGGAAACGCTGGTTACATTGGTTGCATTCACATTGACTACTTTTACCTTTATTCTCCTCCAGTAGACCGGGAAGGCAGGATTTGCTGCCCAAGAGCCCTGTGGTGCTTTACACAGCTAGAGAATGCTACATCCAAAACAGGACAGAGCCTAGCTTCTCTCTGCAATATATATATATATATATATATATATTATAATTTGTTCACGGATTTTGTGTGTGTGGTGGTGAGAAATCTAATATGTAACCCAGGGTAGCTTTACCATGTAGTCAAGGTTAGTCTGGTATACCCAGTCCTGCTATGTCAGCCTCCAAATGTGGGCCACCACACTCAGTCTTTTTTCAACTCAAGTATAATTTCCACTTAATCTTGTTTCCAGAGGGTGTTGTTTTCTTCAGTCTGTAAAGGACTTGGGCTCTTTACATGGGACTAGCCTTGGGGGGGGGCACACCACCACAGGTCTAAGCTGGGTCAAGGGTGTTCAGTCCTTTGGGCTTCAGGACAGTGTCAGTGTCTCTTTTCTAGAATAACACAGTTCTCTCATTGACATAGATTAGAGCTTCATTTACAGTTTGGGAAGCACAAAATTGCTGAATATAATCAATTTGGAAATGTCTCTGATGATTGTGGGCATGGGCCTCTCTTACGTTTTGAATAAAAAACTTTAAAAAATTAAAATTACATTTATCTGTGTGAATGTGCACGTGCGTACATGCGTGCTCTCATGTGTGTGCATATGTGTGCACCAGTGTAACCCTGCGCTTGTGAAGGTCAGAGACAATTGTAAGACTCAATTCTCTCTTTCCACTTTGTGGGTCTGGGATAGAACTCAGGTCATCAGGTTTGGTGGCAGGCACCTTTGCCTGCTGAGCCATCTTAATGGCTCAGAAAACTTTATTTTCTTTATTATAATAATTCTTGGGAATCTTGCTATGCCTTGAACTCCTGGGATCTTCTGGGCTTGAGGTATCCTCGAGACTGAGACCTCGGAGTAGCTGTGAGTGCAGGCCGCCATGTGCTATGGAAATTGGCCTTGTCTTTGTTTTTGCTTTAGTACTGGAGATGGAACCTAGGGCCTAACCCATGCTGGTCCAGCTTTACCTCCAGGCTTCTCCTCCTCTTTCTTCCTTTTTTAAATTTTGAGATGGAGTCTAAGTTGTCCAGACTGGCCTTGAACTCACTCTGTAGCCCAGGCTGGCCTTCAATTTGTGCTCCTCCTGCTTCTCAGCCTCCCAGGTATCTGGGGATTATAGATCTGTACAACCAGGTCCAGCTTCTGCTGAACCTAATTAATGTCTTGTCCTTGGGTATCATGGGGGCAGTTTGTCCAGGCACCATCTATACATGGCTATAGACCTTTGGGGCATGTCCCTGCATTCTCTCTCTCTCTCTCTCTCTCTCTCTCTCTCTCTCTCTCTCTCTCTCTCTCTCTCTCTCCCAGAATCTCTTCTCAGAATGAAATCTCAGACTGTACAATCTTTCTGTTTTTATTTAAAATTTCTTGTTTTGGCTCTGAAGAAATGTCTCAAGCATTGGCTGCTCTTACAGAGGTCCCGTGTTCAATTCCCACAACCACAAGGTGGCTCACAATCATTTATAATGAGATCTGGTGCCTTCTTCTGGCATACAGGCATACTTGTAGACAGAACACTGTATATATAATAAATAGGTAAATAAATAAATACATAAATAAATAAAACCTTTTAAAAAATCAAAACCCACAAACAAATAAACAATAACAACCTGCCCCTCTATTATCTGAAAGAGCACCTTTGTAGCTTCCTGGGACTCTTCAGGGCAAAATAAAATAATAAAATTTCTTGTTTTTAAGACAAGGTCTGGTTCTGTAGTCCGGGAACTCTCTCTTAGTCTAGACTGTCCTTGACTTTTGTTGATCCTCCAGCTTCCAGTACTTGCCTCTACCTCTTAAGGATTACAGACCAGGCTTCAAGCCACACACATTCCCCCTCACTCTTTTTAATTATTTTATTTTTAGAGCGGGAGTGCTGAATGAGTATTCGTGTGCACGTGGAGGCCACAGGTCACTTCCTCGGTAGCTATCACCTTACGTTCTGAGACAAGGTGGCTTGGGATTCATGATCAGGAGAGGCTGGAAGGCCAGTGAGCCAGGGATCCACCTGTCTCCTTCTCTCCAGGACTGCCATGCCGGCTTTTAAGATGAGGTTCTGGCCATTTGAACTCAGTTCCTTGTGCTTGTTTGGCAGGTGCTTTACTGACTGAGGTATTTCCCTTACCCTTCCAAACACACGTTTTTGTTTTTTTACTTTGGCTGTCCTGAAACTCATTCTGTTGGCTAGGCTGGCCTCAGAGACCCCCTGCCTCTGCCTCCCAAATTCTGGGATGAAAGGCAAACACCACCACTGCCCAGCCATCCACACATCTACTTAAGAAGAGAAAGTATTTTATGTCAAGGATGGAATGTAGATCAGTACTTAGCACATTCTGGAATACCAAAAGGGCAAAGTATTTTATGAAAAATAATTGACAAATAGATGTCTTAATAGAAAAATAAATTGGGCTCTGGGTGGTGGTGGTGCATACCTTAATTCCAGCACTTGGGAGGCAGAGGCAGGAGGATCTCTGTGAGTTCGAGACCAGCCTGATCTACAAGAGCTAGTTCCAGGACATCCTCCAAAGCCACAGAGAACCCCTGTTTCAGAACTCCCCCCCAAAAAAGTTGGGTGTGGTGGTACACACCTGTAATCTCAGCTGCTCAGGCCAATCATTTGAAGGGGCAGCCCTGGAAATATAGACAGATCCTTGTTTCAAAACAGGAAAAAAAGAGAGAGAGAGAGGAAGAAAATAAAATTCTATGTGTAGCCTCAGCAGCAGAGGACTGCTACTCCAGGCTGCTTCTGCCCCCCTCCGCGTAGGACTGCAGACTACAAATCCCAGCATGTCTCGGTCACTGAATTTCTCCACACCACGCCCCCTCCCTGGGAGTGAGTTGGGTCTGGAGGGCGGGGCCGGGGGCAGTCAGGCTCCAGGCACAGCCTGGGGAGTGCAATGCCTCAAGCTCTCTGGGGTACACAAAGCGCAGGTGCGACTGACTCGGGGAGCAGCTTCATCGAGTAGGGGGCGTTTGTGGCAGCAGGTGTGGACAGGTGGGTGCATCCAGGGGAACTTGAGGAGTGTGCACCTGACTCTGTAAGATCTGTGTCAGAGCTTGGAGAGGGGAACGAGCCAGAGAAACACAAGAGGCCAAGGCTTCCGCTGTAGGTGTGCCAGCCCTAGTTGCGCAGCAACAGGTGTGAGCAGGTGGGGGAAGGGCAGAGGTGCCTGCTTGTAAATAAGTCGTCTGTTAATAAGAGAAGGCACCCGAACTCCGATCCAAGTTCCATCACATACAGAGGCGTGTCATTTGCTCCTCCCACCTCAGCTCTACCACCTGTAAAGGTCTCCACTTAACAGGGCTATCTGGGGAGGTTTGCAGTGGATGCCTTTCGGGATTACCTAAGGGGAGGGGGCGGCCTTTAAAGACTAGCAGTGCTCTCCCCAGTTATGATTCTGAGCTGGCCTGATCCTGCACATTGGGTGGTCGTTTTTTTTTATTTGATTTGGTTTTGGTTTTTTGAGACAGTCTCACTGTGTAAGTCTGGCTGGCCTGAACTCATATAGACCAGGTTAGCCTACAACAATTCACAGAACTCTGCCTGCCTCTGCCCACCGAGTGCTAGGATTAAAGGCTATGCTGCTACACCCGACTGGCAGTGTGTCTTTTAAAAGCTCCCGGAGAGAAGCTGAGGTGGCTGGGTGTGGATCCTGGCTCCATTGCTTTGTAATCAAGGGTGTCTGTGTAGGTTGGGCATCTCCAAGGCCTGCTTCTCTGTCTGTAAAATAGGCTTCCACTGTAGGTGCGCCAGCCTACAGGGATGGCAGGGATGCTCGGGAAGCTGAAGAGAGATAACGGGTGAAGGCAGAGAGGTGTACCAAGCACACAGTGCTCAGTGGCCTTCAAACAACGGCCCCTGTGGGTTTCCAGTGTGAAAGAGGCTCTTCCTGTCATGGAAATTCATTGCTCTGCCTCTGATATTTTATGCTGGTCCCATTTCCAAATCCTATTTTCACTCCCGTCTTTACCTGCCTCGTCCAAGCCAGAGGAGAATGGAGCAGGGACTTGCCAAGGTTCTGGAACTGACCCTGGCCTGGATCCCATCCCCACCCCCACCCTCACCCTGTCCTGTTGGGTGGCTGCCTGCTGACCCCAGTGGGACAGTGTGCCCATTCTCTGCAGGAGCAGAGCCTTGGGGGATGGGGCGGAGGGTGCCTGGCCTGCGTTTGTTTACTAACACAGCCTGGCATGGTTCTAGGGTGGCTCTCTAGGGAGGGCAGGGCTGGGGGCTTCCTTCTCAGGAGTTGCAATGAATTGTGAGGTCTGTGTGTGCTGGCTCCTCTGACAGGTCCCACCCGACTCCACCCTGGAAAGTCCTTTTGAAGAAATGGCCCTGGTGAGGGGCGGCTGGCTGTGGAGACAGAGTGAGTGATTCTGGGTCAAGTCCTTGTCTACCTTGCACCTGATTCTGGGGCGGGGAGGAGGGAAGCAGTGGGCTCTACACACCATGGCGAACCTTTCTCCCTCCCAGGGTCTTCTGGCCTCCTCTTTACTCAAGCCTTCCAGGCTGGCTGGATTCCCCTCCTTTGAGGCTCCCCCTCTGCCCCTGCAACACTAGGCTGGGTTAGAGGCTCCCTCCTCACTTCCCACACTAACTTATAATACAACTGTTTCCACCTGTCAGGATTCCCGCCTCCCTTCCCCATTTCATACTGGCTCTAGACTTTAGAGTAGCCCTTGAGGTACACAGACTAAGTTTGGTGCCTTGTGTGTCCATAGCCCCCCAACCCAGGCTGCACACAGACCAAGGCCCAGAGCAAAGTGAGATACATCTCTTTTTCAGAATTATAGCTCCAAGAGCCCTCTTTCTTTTGGGGGGCGGGTTGTGAGGCATTGTGGGAATACAAAGTTCCATGTAGCTCTAGTTGGCCCCAAACTCACCATGTGGTCAAATACAACCTTGAATGTCTGTCTCTACCACCTGAGTGCTGGGATTACAGGCATGTGCCACCATGCCTAATTTTATTTATTTTCTCAGTAGTCCAGACTAACCTTGAATTCTCTTCAGCCTAGAGTGCTGGAACTCCACACCTGGCTAAGAGGCCATCTAATGTTTTGCACGTTCTGTTACCATTTCAGTTATAAAATGTTTAGAGTCATAATAATCACAGCCCCCTGCCCATCCCCCCTTCATCCAACCAGTGAGGTAAACTAAAGAATATCTGGCTTGGGCTTTGGGCTAGGAGCCCCCATGTCCCTTGCCCCTGCCCATTTGGGCTAGGAGCCCCCATGTCCCTTGCCCCTGCCCATTTTCAGTTCATTTGGCAGATACCAGTCCTGCTGGGGCTTAGGACCTCACATCCCCAATGCAGATCCCCAATGTAGTGCAAGAGGCAGAGACAAATGACTGTCACTCAAACCAGAGATAGGAGACAAGATAGAGGCTTTCAGTAGGGAGAGGCCGTTGCCTTTGGAAGCTCCCACAAGTTGGTATGAGTGACTGGTCACAGTTCAGCACTTCTGTTGAGCCTCTGCTGTGTGCCAGACCAGTGGCTGGCAGGGATGAGAAATGTAGAAAAGATAGGCAACAAAGAAGTGACAGTAATGGGGGCCAGAGCTGAGGGGACTTAGGGAGCCCATATGGGGCTCTTGCCCTAGCAGGGTCAGGGTTCAGCTTCCCTGGTGGGTCCGGAATATTCACAGGCTCCATCCTCCGTCGCTGGAAGCGGAATTGGTTTGCTCTGTGGTTGGATGGCACGCTGGGTTACTACCACGATGAGACGGCCCAGGACGAGGAGGACCGCGTGCTTATCCACTTCAATGTCCGAGACATAAAGGTCGGCCAAGAGTGTCACGGTGAGCAGAAGCACTTCTTTGATGGAACTCTGCCCATGGCCAGGCTCTTTCCTGTGTGTGTCTGAGAACTGCAATTGGAAGGCTCTTGGCTGCTTTCAGAGAGCTCTTCCACACATTTCTGGGCCTTCACCAGCTGTAGGTCAGTGAGCTATGAGTTAAGGACCGGTCCTTGGTTGAGTTCCTACCTTGTGCTGTACCCCAGAGGTGAGTCCAGATAAAATACCTGCAGGTACTTGAGAATGGATGAAGATGAAATAAGGAGGCTCAGAGAAGTGACGTAACTGGCCTAGAGTCACACAGCGAATCTAGTGCCTCAACCAAGACTGAAGCGAGTGTAATGCAGTAACTGAGAGATGAGCTAGGAAGCCAGTAATATGGAAAGGTTGAAAGGATTTGGAGGGTATAGCAGACTCCCAGGCAAGTATATGGGATCAGAGGTTAGCAATGACCAGCAAACAGGACCCCAAGATGTTAACTCCTACCATTGGGTGTGGTTTCCTGGGGCAGGGCCACTAGGGCCTACGTTTCTGGAATCCTCATGAATGTGTGCTTTCTTGCAGATGTGCAGCCCCCAGAGGGCAGGAGCCGAGACGGCCTGCTGACAGTGAACCTACGGGAGGGTTCCCGTCTGCACCTGTGTGCAGAGACCCGGGATGATGCCGTGTGAGTGGACTCACGGGATGTGTGGAGCGGGGCACTGGGTGCAAGCGCAGAGGGGATTTAGACCAGTTATCAAGGTTTTGTCATACAGGCTGAGCAGAGGATAATAGTGGAATTACTGATAATTGGTGCATACACAGAGACCCCAGGGTTGGATGCACACATGCCTCAGGTACTGAGTCCCTGGACATTTGGAATCAGATATTTGGCAGCCTGTGAAGTGATTCCCTCACCCAGGCCAATTGAAAGGAGCAGGCATACCCCATGACATCCCAACAGACTTTGTAAGAGGTGCCCTGGTGGTGGGACTCTGAACTGAGGGGTCGGCCTAAACCTGCTGTCAGAAGCAACTGGCAGGGTCTAAGCTGAGCACCCCAGTATTAGATGCAGCCCATCCTGGGAGGCTGAGGGCATCCTCCTCAGTGCCATCTATTCCCTCCATTCTTTCCCTTCCTGCCCCCAGCCTGAGCAGCTGGGCCTCTGCCCTGGAGAAGAAGGAAGGAGATGGGTGTGTGGGTGTGGGGACAGCCAAGATCTGGGCAGATAGCATAGAGCTGCCTTGTCCACCCCAGCCAGATGCCATGGCAACCAACAAAGGCCCAATTGTCCTGTATCCACTGGGCATTCCTGAGGCGTGGGTCATGGCTCTGGGAAGTTGTGTAAGCTGGAATGTGGAGGTGGGTTGCAGAAGAGCATCACTCAGACATGCCAGACTCAGAAGGCACCCAAGAGACACCCCCAGCCTCAGCCGGGGTAATTGAGGGGAAGAGGCTGGACCAAGAGTTATTAGCTTACTGGGTGGTGAGGGCACACACCTGTAATCCCAGCACTCAGTAGGCAGAGGCAGGCAGATCTCTGAGTATGAGGTCAGCATGGTCTACAAGGAGAGTTCCAGGACAGCCAGGACTGTGCAGAGAAATCCTGTCTCCCATCCAAGCACTAACCAGGCCCGACCCTGCTTAGCTTCCAAGATCAGAGGAGTTCAGAATGGTATGGCTGTAAAAGTAGAAACAACAACAAGAAAACACAAACCATCAACAGTTATTAGCTTACCTCGGGGTGCATCCATGTGGTTAGTTGCTTTTGTCTGACCGAGAGCTGGGAGATATGGGGGCTTGGGGCTGATTGGGTTGGGGATGAGCATCTACAAGGTGGGAGCTCCATATGCCTATCCTGCGAATCTTTCCTCATGATCTGGTGGGTTTTGCTTTGCAGAGCATGGAAGACAGCACTGTTGGAGGCAAATTCCACCCCGGTGAGCACCCACTCTCTCCCCCTCCCCCTTGCCCTACATGCCATAGAATCATGGGTGACTCAGACTCGGTCTCTGCCTATTAGTTCAGCCTATAATGGAGCGGTTCATGCAGACTCAGTCCCCTAGAGTCCCCTGTGGAGAAGGGAAGAGTCAGCAGGTGCTCCCAGGAGAGAAGGAGTGAAGCCTCCATGAAGACTCACTGGAGAGTTGCAGGGGAGTTAGGAAAGAGGGGTGCATGTGTCAGGCGTGATGCCACTCAGAACAGTCCTGTGAGGCTGGGTTATTGTTCTCTCTGCACACGGTTAAGACTAAGGCTCATTCGTCCACACAACAGATATGTATTGGGTTCTTAGTGTGTGTTGGGTACCATGCCAGGGGCCAGGGATCTGACGTAAACCAAAGGATGTAGGCTCTCCCCCTCCTGTATTCAGCCCAGAAGGGGCCAGATATGAAACAACCAGTTAATTAATCTTTCCATTTTGATATCAGCCACTGCTCTGGCAGAGGCATGCAGTCTGTGACCGTTTTGGTGGTCTGATCCAGGTGTGAGTTCACTTGAAGCTGAGACTTGAAGGGTAAACATAAATTGGGTGAAAGGGGCTATGGTGAAGGAAACAGCTTTCCAGGTAAGAAGGACCAGTATGTGCAAAGGCCTGAAGGGGTTAAGATGTCGAGGTGGCTGAAGCCTAGGGAACAGGATCAGGAGTGGCGGGGGAAAGAAATCTGGGGGGGTTCAGGCCTGTGCCTTGTGCTAATAATATTGTATTGATTATTTTACTTTTTACGTAGAGTATCATTTTGGATCTCAGGCTGGCCTTGAACTCATCATGCAGCCCAGACTGGCCTCAGATTTGCAGTGCTCCTCCTGCTTCAGCTTTCCAAGTGCTAGAAGTACATGATAAAATGCCATGCCTTGCTCTAAGAATCCTGGTGTCTTCTAGGAGCACCAACAAGCCATTGACAGTCTTTAAACAGAAGGAAAGAATGGGCAGACCAGATCAGATCTGCCTTTTAAAATCTTTGTAATAATGTACGTATGGTGTGCCCATGTATTTGTGGGTGTGTGTACAGGTGTGTGAAGGCCAGAGGTCAACCTTGGGTGGTAGTCCTCATCAGCAACAATCACTTCATTTTACTTTTTGTTTTAACTTTACTTTTTTTGGTGTTTGGTTTTCGGAGGCAGGGTTTTGCTGTGTAACAGCCCTGGCTGTCTTGGAACTCCCTCTTTAGACCAGGCTGGCCTCGAACTCACGGATATCCACCTGTCTTTGCCTACTGAGTGCTGGGGTTAAAGGTGTGCCCCCCCCCCCCAGTCATCACCTTGTTTTTTGTGACAGGGCTGCTCGATGGGACCTGGGGCTTACCAGTTTAGGCTGGCTGGCCGACAAGCCCCAGGGATCCTCCTGTGTTTGCTCTGGAGTTAGGCACACGTAGCTATGCCTGATTTCCACAGGTATGCTGCGGTTGGAAGTCAGGTTGCAAGGCAAGCACTTTACTAACAGAGCCTTCTCTGCAGTGCCAGCCTTGTATTTTCAAAAAGCCATTTTGGAGCAGGGTGTGGCCGTGTGTACTTGTGATCCCAGCACTTGGGAGGCAGAGAGAGGACAACTCCAAGCTTTGGGTCAGTCTGGACCAGAGAGCCAGACCCTGTCTCAAAAACAAGCAAAAGAAGCCCTGCTGGTAGGGAGGGAGGGAGCAGCAGGGAGTGAGAGTGAATACCCAGGGACCAGTTAGGAGCTGAGGTCAGTCTCCCTACAATAGGCTGCAGGTCTGGATTAAGCCTTGCTGGCCAACAGGCTGAGGAGTACAGGCATTTAGGAGATGCAGGGGAGAGTGCTCAGTGACTGACCATTGGTCACTAAGGTGAGGGTCTGAAGCATGGCCTGAGGCCCAACGTGGGCCCCCACCTGCCAGACTCCAGAATCCATGCTTGCTGCTTCTGCAGGCAGCACAACTGAGAATTCTCTCACCTGAAGAGTGTCTACTGGGAAGTAGCAGAGAAGACAGACAGTTAGAAACCCTCTTGAGTATATCCACCTGCTGAGAGCCAGACATTGCTAAACACCTGGCATGGTTATGTCATTTCATCCTCTGACTGGGGTTGGTGGCAGTTGGTTTATTAGTCCCACTTGACAGATGGGGAAGCTGAGGTTTAGAAAGGGGAGATGGCTCGTTCAGAGTCTCACAGTCTTAAGGCATTGGATGAGCCTTCACTGGAGACTTGGTTAGTGAACTTAATGAGGAAGCTGGCATTGTGAGCAGAGGCAGGGAAGAGGGATGTGTATGTGTGCATGTTTGCAAACGTGTGCATCCAAGGGCTGGAGAATGGCCTGGTTGGAAGGTTTACCGTGGGGGGACTGACATTGGAGAAATGACCTCTGAGGTCAACAGGGTCTGGTCATAAAGGATCTCAAAATCTAGTTGGAGGAATAGCCTTTTCCTGAGGCTATCAGACCAGTTGGGGGAATTAGCAGAGAGGGCTGCAGTCAGTCAGACACCGGGGCCACCTTGACTTTTCAGGTGGGGAAGTGGTTACAGGAAGCTAGAAATAAAGAGGGCCAAGAATCATCGGGGCGGGGGGGGGGGGGGGAGCCAGGTCCCCTAACCCTTCTCTGAGCTCCAAAGGCCCCCCTCCCAGCAGGGCCTGTCAGTGGCACTGAAGACAGCAGGAAGAAGGAGGTGAGGGCTGACCGTTCTGCACTCTGTGACTCTATGAAGCTGTCTTGCTCCCCCTCTGCCTGCCCTACTGACCCTTGACCTCTGCCTGGCCCTCCATGCTCCCTCTCTGCCTGTCCACCTGCCTGCTGTACTGACCTCCGACCTCTGCCTGGTCCTCCCTGCTCCCTCTTTTTGCTCCCCAGATACACATCCCTCGGGGCTCTGGCTTACTGGGGCTAGTGCCTGTGTTTTTGTATTTCTGTCTGTCTGTCTGTCTGTCTATTCACAACTGTGTCTGTGGACGTCTCTGTCCCTGAGCCGATGCAGGAGTGACCTGTGCTTTGTACCTCTATGTGCCTCCCACTCCGGGGGAAGGCTCGTGGGGATATAGTCACAGATGAGGCTGGAATTGTGGGGTAAAGCGACTGGGATCCCCAGTGCATGGAACCAAGGCGGGGGAGCCAGAAGGAGACCATGCTCCTTCCTGAGTCATTGACACCCTTTCCCCGTCTCTGGCCTCTCCCCTGCACATGAACAGTTGGCACAGGACTCTGGTAGGGGCCTGGTGATGTCTCCTAGTCTCTTAAGGTGTAAAGGGCGTCTGACATCTCCCTCCCTCTCCCTTCTTGGGTTTCTGTGGCTGGAGCAGGCCCCAGCTGGAGCCACCGTCCCACCCAGGAGCCGTCGGGTTTGCCCTAAGGTCAGGTGTACGACCCTCTCCTGGAAGCCCTGTCAGGTTGAGAGGCGGATCTGGGTAAGTGCAAGCTCAGCCCTTCCTGCCTCCTTTCTGGCCATCAGGACGAGCCTCCAAAGCCACACGTCCCATCCTTTCCCTGTCCATGGACATCGATGGCTCTCCTTTCTTCACTGGACCACAGCTGGCTTTCAAGGCCCTCGGTCTCCTCCCAGACTTGCTTGCCGCATCTCCACGCTCCTGTGTTTGCTCTGCCTCTGCTGCAGCTGCTGTAGCCCTTACCTCCTCCTGCTGATACCCATGCTGCCCTCTGCTGCCCAAACCCTTAGCTTCTTTGTTCACCTGGCCAGCGGATGCTCGCCCTTAAAGAACTACCTCCTCAGTGGGGACCTCCCAGAGCTGCAGGCACTGTCACTCAGGACAGTCCACTGTCACTGGTTCTTAGCACTGGCTTCATTCTGCCTGGCCTAAGAGTCTCTTTATTCCTGTCTGCTTAGAACTGCTGAAACAGGAACTTCCTCCAAGACAAGGACCAGGAAGCCCAGTACAGGGTTGGGTATTCAGCGTGTGCTCAGTCAGGTGCTCAGTGATGGGGACAGTCTGTTCGTACCCCTTCACAAGGAACTGGCAGATAGGTCACTGAATGAGAAAGGAAAGAAAGGGACTTAGTTTGGGTCTATCCTTGTCCTGGGTGATTCTTGGTATCAGGATGTGGTAATTACTTTTCTTATCACTGTGAGCAAATATCTCACAAGAAGCAACTTAAGGAATGAAAGAAATGCGAGATTTATGTTTATAGTTTGAGGGTACACTCTTCCGTGTGCGTGTGTGCGCGCGTGCGTGTGCACGACGGTGGGACTATGAGGCTGCGTGCTCATATTTAGGCAGAGAGAGGAATGCCAGTGTCCGGCTGGCTTTTTCATGTCCCCTTTTCATTTAGTCTAGAATTCCAACCCATACCATAGGGTGGTGTTGCCCCACTCAGGAGAAGGTCTCTCCCAAAGGTATGTGTCCCAGGCGATTCCAAGTCCAGTCAGCCAGCACACAGGTTCTGGGCCTCAACTCTTTGTCACTAGGGATCAGCATAGCACCTGGTCTGGTGCTATGTGAGTGGACATGGGAGCTTGTGGTCTTATTATGTGGTCAATTACAAACTCTTTTTTTTTTTTTTTTTTTTGGAGACAGGGTTTCTCTGTATTGTTTTGGAGGCTGTCCTGGAACTCACTCGGTAGACCAGGCTGGCCTCGAACTCACAGAGATCCGCCTGCCTCTGCCTCCCGAGTGCTGGGATTAAAGGTGTGCGCCACCAACGCCCGGCTCAATTACAAACTCTTTTCTTGTTCATTGATGCTGTTTTAGAATTGCTTAGGGACTTACATGACAGCAACACTTGTTGGTATTGTCTGCATGCCAGAATCTCCTAAGTAGGGTGGGGCCTAGGGAAAAAATATATATGTAATTTCTGTGGTGCTGGGGATTGAGCTAGGAGCCTCACACATGCTAGGCAAGCACTGCTTTTAACACTCAACCATATATACCCCAGCCTGGAAATCTGCATGTTCAAGACTAACTTCTGGGGTTGGGTTTGAGTCTCAGTGGTGGAGTACGTACTTAGCCCGAGTGAGGTGCTGGGTTGATCCCCAGTATTTCATAAGGGATGAGGCTTCTGGTGGTTGTGGCATGAGGAACAACTGAGCCCAGAAGTACTTGGTCAGTAGACGTAGTTTTGCTGGAGTCTCCCAGGATTAATGAGAAACATGCTCTGATGAGAAGCATGTAACTTAGCTTGATCATTGTTACTTAGCTCATCACAGAAAGGCCTAGGACTTCAAGTGGCAATGCCTAAAAATGGGATTGAAAAACCATAAACCTGTGAACACAGCAGTTTCAGATGAGGCCAGAATGTTATTTACATATAACTCACTGTTTGCACAGCACTGTTTTCACCCATAGGAGGGGCTGGGCCATGGGAGAAGCCCTAGGGTTCTCCAGGTCCCTGGGGTGACCAGCCGGTTGCCAGGTACTCTGAGTTTTCTTCTGGGCCTCCCAGATCTGGAGGGACAGGAGCCCTGGAGAGACATGAGGTTGTATTTTCCACCCACTCCAGAACCTCACAGAGGCCAGCTCACTGCAGCTTCAGGGCAGGTTCGTGTAGTAATGGTGATTCCCCGCCCTCCTTGAGGATTCTTCAGTCTTCTCCAGTCTGACGTATCCACAACCATTCCTTTGAAAACACCCCTCCCTACCAAGATCACTAGTGTCTAAGTTGCTAAAGCCAAGGGCTTACCCTCTCAGCATCAGCCAATAGGTTGTCAGAAGAGCATACTGAGAAGATAAAATTCTAAGGCTAGTGTGCCAAGAGATGGAGATGCAGCTCAGTGGTACATGCCTGTCTGACACACATAAGGCCTTGGGCTCAAACCCCAACATCACAAAAAGGAAAATGCTGGGTTTGGTGGTATATGCCTATAATCCTAGCAGCCAGGAACCGAAGCAAGAAGGTTGTGAGTTCAAAGGCAGCCTGGGCTGTGTATCACTCACTCCCCCAAAGAGCAAAGGTTCTAGTGCTAGGCTTAGTGATGCATTCCTGTAACCCCAGAACTTGGGAGGTAGAGGAAGGAAGATCAGGAGTTCAATGTCATCCTCATCTATAGAGTGAGTTCAAGGCCAAGCTAGGGTGCATGAAATCCTGTCTAAAAATGGAAAGCTTTTGTCACGAAAGCATGAGGACCTGAGTTAGACCCCAGAACCCATGTGAAAACAGTGGTGTTCTCTACAACCGCAGTGCTGGGGAGGTAGAGACAGGAACAGGCTAGGGGCTCACTGTCCTGGCAGTGAGGGTGAACCAGCAAGTTCCAAGTTCAGTGAGAAATGATCTCAACAATAGAGTGAAAAGTGACCAAGAAAGACACCTTGCATCTGACTTCTGCACGCACACACACTTCCACATATACAAAAGGGTGGAAAGGAGGAGGAACCCCTTAAGGTGTGCATATGGTTTCTTGGTTGGAGTGCATGGTGCTGGCATTTACAGACAAGAACAGGCCTGTGAGATGGAGAGACAGCACAATCCACTTGTGTTAGTAAAGTTGAACACATAAAACCTCTTTTCTGCTTTTGTTTTTTTAAGATTTTATTTATTTATTATATATACAGTGTTCTATCTGCATGTATGCCTGCTGGCCAGAAGAGGTCACCAGTTCTCATTATAGATGATTGTGAGCCATCATATGATTGCTGGGAACTGTACTCATGACCTCTGGAAGAGCAGTCAGTGCTCTTAACCACTGAGCTATCTCAGTGTTTTTGTTTTTTTCTGTTGTTGTTGTTTTGGTTTTTCGAGACAGGGTTTCTCTGTATTGCTTTGGAGCCTGTCCTGGTACTCACTCTGTAGACCAGGCTGGCTTTGAACTCACTCCCGAGTGCTGGCATTAAAGGTGTGCACCACCAACGCCTAGCTGCAGGTTGGAACAGTCTAAAGAAAGTTGGGCCATTCTGGTATGGACCCTCCAGGTCTGCCACACCCCATGAGTAAAGTGGCAGGTTTGGATTGACAGTAAATCATGCATGTATTTACTGGCTCCTGTCATGCAGGATCCCCTGCTGGTGACATAAACTGAGGGCCTTGTTCCTAAGTGGCACACATTTGGGGAGTGGATGGAAAAGTTGAGGAGACTATCCAGTCACAGAGAACCCAAGAACTTTTGAGGAAGGCTCTGGGAGGTTAGCAGACCCTGAAGGGGACAGCAACAATCCCACCTCCTCTGTCTCAGCCCACAGCACTGGGTCCTGGGTGCTGTGGAGGCAGCAATGCCCGTCTTTAAGGGTCCCAGGTGGTAACACAGCACAGCACCTCCATTGGGACCCGCTCTGCAGTAGATGCCTGATAGTTATTTCAGTTTTCTTCCCTGCTCTTCCTTTCCTTTGCCCCAGACCTCCTTTAATTCATACCTACAGCTTGACCATAGTTCTCTCTTCCTGTGGCTAGGAGAGTAATCGGCTAGGTTTTTCTCCAAGTGAGAGAACTGTAGCTGTTAGGCCTATAAAGGGAATTTGGGAGCCATGGAAAATATGTGCAGTGTAGGAGACCAAGGTGAAAACAGCGTTTTAGAGAAGGCTATGGACTTTATGAGGAGGCAGCAGTGCCTTATCTGTCAGCTTCCTGGTGGGGGTGGGGAGCACAGGAGAATGAAGGGGTCAGGACCAAACCCAGACCAGGAAGTTCCTGGGCATTTGACCTGATCGGACTTCCCAGGTACGTGTGTACAGCCCGTATCAGGACTACTATGAAGTGGTGCCTCCCAACGCGCACGAAGCCACATATGTCCGCAGCAGCTACTACGGGCCACCTTATGCAGGTAAGTGCCCCTGCCCTATCCCTTTGCCCACCACAATCCTGTACCAGACCTTGTCCATGACCTATCAGTGAAGACTAAGCTTTGACCTTTTAGGGTACATGTATTTTCCAAATCCCACCAGTAGTACCCTCTGGATCCCCAGATTCAAAACAGCCATCCCTACTCCTGCTCTGATCTCCCAGCCTCCCTGTGCCATCCCCACTAAGCCACACAGCCTAGCAATGACATTACTGTGCTGCTGGCGACCCCAGGTGGCTATTGTAGGAATGGCAATAACCTCCTTCCTAGTCCTGAAATCTTGGTTACTAGTGTCCGTCCCCGGATATACTGCATAGGTTCTCCAGGCACCCAGGGATCCTGAGGGTTCCTGTAGCATAGTCCCACAACCATAGTCACTAAGTATCAGTGGCATATGTATGACCTGTAGGATGTGGTGGCAGGTCTCTCAAAGTCTCAGTTTCTCTGGGGGAGCAGAATGACTTCATAGCTTAACGTGTGACTGTATTAGGTCACAGGGGTTGACCCTCTGCCTCTTCTTACAGGCCCTGGTGTGACACACGTGATAGTGAGAGAGGACCCCTACTACAGCTCGGGCGCCCCACTGGCCATGGGCATGCTTGCTGGGGCTGCCACAGGTGCTGCTCTAGGCTCACTCATGTGGTCACCTTGCTGGTTCTGAGCCCTGGGGCTCTGACCTCTGGATGTGCATGTAGATCGCAAGACCCTTTTCTTCCTGGACTACCTTCTGCTGTCTACCATTTAAACCCTGGCTCATTCTGACCTTTTCCTCTCCATTAAGCTCTCTATGCCTAGTCCATTCCTCTCACCACTTAGCCTCCTTCCCTCTCAGAAGAAGCTAACATCTCAGGCACACTTGGTTGAATTCTCCCACCTATTGCTAGACACCCCCATAAATCACATATAGATATATTTCTTCTAGATACAGCAAACATGACTTCCTTTGGTTCCAAGTATCTGAGGAACGGCGATCATAAGTAAACAACAAAGCTACAGTTATCAGTCTGAGGACATATGGGGGCAAGGAGCAAGGAGCAAGGAGCAAGAATGAGCAGAGAACATTCTTACACATCCAAAGAATCAAAGAATACAGTTGTTTGGTGTTGAGGCAGGGTTTGGACTATGGTGTCCTCCAGGCTAAGGAGCTTGCTGGATACAGGTGACAGGAGCTTTTTATGGAGGGAAGCTTTGTGATTTCAACTACAGTATCTTGTCTGTTTTGTCAGTACTGGCACATATCCTTACTCCATACATGAAGTTTGGCACCTTCTTTCCACTACTAGCTTCTCTGTGATAGTTGAGCTAACCCCTGGTTTTCCTGGCTGTGGGACAGGTGAGCTCCTTGGGACCTCCAGCCTTAGGAAGTTGCTTCCATTAGGAAATGCCTTTCTGATCCCCGGAGCTCAGCTCTATTACTGTAACCATTACTGAGGCTTTCTCTTCCTTCACTCTGTGGGCCTAACCCACCTTGGTACCAGCCTGGGGAACCACTCATGTGCCTGCCTGTAGGTGGCAAGCAATTTCTCCATTAGATCCTGTTCCAGACTCTTCCACTATCCCTTCCCAGCTGCTAATAGAAAAGCTAAAGTCCCTGGTCCAGTGGCTAGAGTGCCCACTACAGTCCCCATAGATGATGGAGGGCTCCATTGGCTCAGCTGCAGACACTAATAAAGACATGACTGGCTCCAAAACTGGCTCTGGTTTTTTAGTTCCTCCAGGGGGATCTCTTTCCTCAGGCCATCTGTGACCAACCATTTACTGATACAGTGCATTATGAAGTTGGATGGAATTGGTGACATGTGAGCTGAACAATTTGGGACAACTCATTTCTAGATCTTCCTTTCCCTACCCCTGGAGATGGCAGATGGAAGTTGGCCATCTCTGAAGACTCAAAAGGAGAGGCTATGCCTGGGTCTTTGTTCTATACCCTGAGCTGACAGATAATCCATAGCTGGCACTGTGTGCTGAGACCTCTGATGTTAGAATATTTGTGTATGTGTGCACACAAGCATGCCAGAGGTCAACGGCCAGAGTGTGTTTATCAATCTCCACCTTGTTTTTGACATTCCTCAAGGTTTGGCTAAACTGACTGGCTCGTAAATGTCAGGGATCCTCTTACCTTTGCCTTCCCATGGCTGAGATTTTCCACAGTATCTTCCCCACCTAAAGTAGAACCAATTAATTGTTCTCATAGAAACCTGGTGGGTAGAGACAAATAGAACCTGCCTCAGGCTTCTGGAGGCTGTCAAATAGCAAAAATCCCTGCTCAAACTGATTTAAGCCAAAGAAAGGAAAACAAGGCAGCCAGGACTAGAAGGTAGATTCAAGAATTGAGAATGAGATAACACCTTTACACTGAGGTGGCTATCATCTGTCTCAAGCATAGGCACTGAGAATGACCGTATGTTGTGGGATATTTGTACACTGTGAAAATGTATTGCTGTGATTGATGTAGTAAGAAGCTTAAGGGCCAATAGCTATGCAGGAGGTATAGGTGGGACTTCAGGGCAGAGGGTGAACTCTGGGAGAAGGCGGGGTGGCCAGCCAGGGACTGAGAGAGACAGAAGGATGGGCAGTACACAATAGAAGGTAGATAAATAGAAATGGGTTAACTCAAGTTATAAGAGCTGGTGGGACAAGTCTAAGCTAAGGTGGAACTATCGTAATTCTCCATCTTGTTTTCTGGGAGCTGGCAGCTACAACCATGTATCAAGCTGAGCAGAGGGAGCAAATCTCACACTGAAGAGTTCCACGAACCACAGGGCTGATCCTCTAAGCCCCATCTCATTGCAGTATCTTACCTGTTTTCATCAACTCTTCTTTCTCGTGGCAACTGTAGTGCACTAATGCTAGCTCTGAAGTCAGCTACATTAATAAGTTCTCTGGCTTGTGGCCTCTATTTTTGTAATAGAGCAGGAGAGTCGGATGTTGGTGACCAAAGTCAGGTATTTCCTTTGTTGTGTAAATTGCCAGAAAGTAAATACTTCAGAATTTGGGATCATAAGAACTGTTTTAAGTGTTCAATTGTATCTGAATGGTTTAAAAGTATGCCTGAGTTCTAAAAAAGCTTATTTATTTTTGGTTTTTCTGTGTCGCTCTAGCTGTGCTGGAACTCACTCTATAGACCAGAGTGTCTTCAAACTCAGGATCCACTTGCCTCTGCCAGCATTAAAGGCATGTGCCACCACATTCAGCTAAAGTTTAAGATTAAAACCAGCAATGGGCTAGATGTAGTTAGAAGTTCTGCTTGCAAGGTTATGCCCCACCCCAACCTAAGACAAAAGTTTTGCTCTGTAACCCATGCCAACCTTGAACTCACAATCCTACTGCCTCAGGTTTTCAAGTGCTGCATTTACATGTATGCATCATTGTTGTCAGCCAAAGTCATTCCTTACCTAACAGCAATACAATCTCATCAAGTTAACACCACAGAGTATAGATGATATAACTTATTCACAAACCTAGGCTATAAAGGCTGTGTGTGGCATAGTCTACTCCCTGCTGGAGTCATATCAACACAACACCACAGGCTTAAACACAAAAGAACAGTATGACCAAGAGACATAGTAACCACATGTATAAATTCTGGCTGGTCTAGCATTTTATAAGTTTTTTGGCTAAGCAGAACTACATTTTAAAATAACAGTAAATAAAACAGCAATTACTATTGCCATCATGTACATAATTGTATGCCTCTACTTTTATTTGACTGAAAACACAACAGATTATACTAACATTGCTACAGACAAGAGACATTTTGTGCTATTACCCAATATTATTTTTTATTTTAGTTCAGCTGTAACTGCATGAGACCTTGTTTGACATATGGTCCATCACTGACCAAAATATCACATCTGGTGCATGACTGGGGATACTATTGCTACCCCAGTAAGGGCTGTCTCCCAAGTTGCACCCCACTTTTCACACCCTTGGAAAGATGTCGGATTTCCTGTTTCTCCCCCAACATCTGTTCTTGCTATTAATTAATTATTTATTTTTTTGGTTTTACGAGACAGGGTTTCTCTGTATTATTTTGGAGGCTGTCGGTCCAGCCTGGCCTCGAACTCACAGAGATCCGCCTGCCTCTGCCTCCCAAGTGCTGGGATTAGAGGCGTGCACCACCACCGCCCGGCTCATTTACTTATTTTACTTCAAGTTGCATTTTATAGCTCTAGAAAGGGAAAAGCATATGCATACTCAGCACACTGGCAGGAATGGGAAACCAAGTCAATAGTTGTTTTCTTGTGTTTTATTTATATATATATTTGGCAGCAAAATTGTGTTTAAAAAAAATCTAGACTGTGAACACACTTTACTGCTTCAGCTGAAGAACCCCAAGCTAAATAAAAAGAGCAATATGAAAAGCAGCATACTGGTTACTTTCAAGAATAACATAAAAAGAACCAAATTCAACAGTGTAGGAAGACAATCACCCCCCTTTTCAGAAATCACAATTCCTTCAAATAAAGAATGTGAACCATCTGCCATATTGAATTGATATTTATTTCAGGACATGCCATGTCAAAATAAAACAAAAGAGTCAATCCTTGCTTTTAACAATAATATGTATTATAAAAGCACTTTACAACTCCATCCCATCTTTGAGTATAAGTTATAGGGTATGTGGGCTAATGATTATCTGAAAGTATTTCTCTATTCAGATCCATAATCCAAGTGCTCTCCAAGTATTACAAGGTGACAGTAAGTGAGAGGAGGAGAAGAGGAGGAGAGGGGAGTGGGGGGTTTTCCCAGTTAAGGATTGTGTTGCAATGAGGAGGTGAGGAAGTGTGAAGTTACTTTTGTTGTCTTTTCATCGTTACACTGTGTTAAGTAATGCTTACAACATAAACTCAGCAGGCTTCTTCTGAGCTAGAACTCACAATGTTTTCCTGCAAACAATGTATTTACAAATGTGTTTATTAACTTACACAGCAATCTCACAATAACTAGTAAAGATTAAAAGGGTGCACTCCTAGTGTAACTGTTTGCAACGCTTCAAGGGAAATACATATTGCCATGGTGATGAAGCTCTAAATAACAAAACACCTAAAAATTCAAAGTTAAAAAAAAGGCAAAGAAATAAATATCACCAAAGAAAGATTAATTGTAGCTTAAATACAAAACTAAATTGCTAGTTAACTTATTTATATAGATCTAATAAAAAGCAAAAACAGCTTGAAAGACCCAACATTTAAAAAATGCTAAAAAATAAGGCATAAATCTGCATTATAGTAATTTTTATTTCCATTCTCTCCTTTCCCTCTTAATGACTCTGATCTGCCTCTAGGGGCTTGCAAGGAAATTATTTCCATATTCAAATTTGACCTCAGAAGTCCAGAGCAGAGGGGTATTTGCTATTCTGAGAGGGTTCTTTTGTTGGCAAACTTTAGATATCATTATTTCTACTGGATACAGCAGTTTTCCTCATGTTGTCCATTTCTATTTTTCTGCTGATTCTTAAAGGAAACTGATTTTTGCAATGCCTTGTCTTCATAGCATTTTTTTTTTAAGAAAAGAAACCCAAGTGAATCTATTGCTTTAAAGGTGTTGATTTCTTTAAAGACACTATTTTGACAATTCAAAAATTTGGGGAGAACTGTTTGAATTTTTATAAATTCTCCATGATGAAATAAATATTGAAAAACAGTTCTGACATACTTGGCTACTCTTCTTTCCCAGAGTCTAGTAAAAGCTCATGTGAAAGGGTCACTTGCTCTGGTCAGAAATATGTTTTATGCTCCTTTACCTGGAAGCACTCAGTAAATTCATTAGGACTCATTTTGAAGACACAACAGAACCCTTTCCTCATTCAAACACTGTCCATCATAACAGCAATAGCTGAGTTCAGCCCTCAAAGAAGGTCTAAGTAGTTTTTATCAGTGCTGGGGAATCATTTTGGACATTGTCGCTCATGGCCTGGAGCTAATGGTATCTGTAAAACTAAGGATAATTCCAAAGGGCTTGGTCAGACTGCTATTTGCCACCTCTTGTTTGTTTGGGGGAAGAGTATGAACAGGGAAAGGAAAAGGAAGAGGCAAGAAAAGCTGGGAGATAGAAAGAAGGTAGGCAAATGCAGCTGTGAACACACTGCTCCTTAACAAGCCACATTCACACTGCTGAGATTTTCATCATTTTAAAGTACATCATCATAACATTAAAAAGGGAAAAAATGTTAAGAAAATGTAATCCTCAAAGTTATCACGAATATGCTGAATTGTTTGGCTTTTAAAAAATATAAATAATGAAGACACTGACTTTTTTGTGCTTGTGAAGCTAATAGATCATCTCCACGAAACAGGCAGCAATGATGAATTGCAATACGTTATTACTGAAGGGAAAAGGTTCAAGCCAATATTCACACTGCAGTCAATGAAAGAATATGGGGGCCAAAGCAGTGAGCTTCTGTGAAGGGCTGAAGATGCCAGGGAAAGATTAGCAGGAACAGCCTCCTTCACTGACTGGTTGCTCCTGAGGCTTTTCCAGTTTTATGTCAATCACTGAAATAAAAGTTAAGGAGTCTGTTACAGAAAAGTACAGTTCTAACTCGGCTGAACTCTGACATCTCTGGCAAGCTCCTTATATTTGACTTCAGAAACTATTCAATCATTATTTTCTAGGTATATGTATCTTTCAATGAAATATGAGTCCTATTCATGGGAATCTATTCTAAGAAAATTATTCTATATGAACA